AGCGTCAGGAGCGCGCTCACTGCATCCCATGGTCAGCGTCAGGAGCACGCTTGCTGCCTTCCGTGGTCAGCCTCAGGAGCACGCTCACTGCATCCTGTGGTCAGCCTCAGGAGCACGCTCACTGCATCCTGTGGTCAGCCTCAGGAGCACACTCACTGCATCCCATGGTCAGCCTCAGGAGCGCGCTCACTGCATCCCATGGTCAGCGTCAGGAGCACGCTTGCTGCCTTCTGTGGTCAGCCTCAGGAGCACACTCACTGCATCCCGTGGTCAGCCTCAGGAGCACGCTCACTGCATCCCATGGTCAGCGTCAGGAGCGCGCTCACTGCATCCCATGGTCAGGGTCAGGAGCACGCGTGGTCAGCCTCAGGAGCACGCTTGCTGCCTTCCGTGGTCAGCCTCAGGAGCATGCTCACTGCCTCCCGTGGTCAGCCTCCGGAGCACACTCCCTGCATCCCATGGTCAGCCTCAGGAGCGCGCTCACTGCATCCCATGGTCAGCGTCAGGAGCACGCTTGCTGCCTTCCGTGGTCAGCCTCAGGAGCGCGCTCACTGCATCCCTGGTCAGCCTCAGGAGCGTGCTCACTGCATCCCGTGGTCAGCCTCCGGAGCACGCTTGCTGCCTTCCATGGTCAGCCTCCAGAGCACGCTCACTGCATCCCTGGTCGGCCTCGGGAACGTGCTCACAGCCTCCCGTGGTCAGCCTCCGGAGTGCTATACTCAGTGCATATTCACCATTCTTTGGGTCCAAGCTATTTTAGCAATCATGTTTTCCAAAGCAGCTGAGCCACTTCATGCTTTCTGATTAGGCCATTATGAATAAATACATGAGTGATAAGTGTGTAAATGTATCCTGTGTAGTTTTTTACATAAAATGTTTATGTATTTATTTTCTCTTTCTGCAACAGCGCTTTGCTGTGCAGTTCAGTCTGGCCTTCAGCTCACTTTGTAGTCTGGCTGGCCTCCACTCGAAGCGATCGTCCTGCCTCAGGCCCCTGGGTGCTGGGATTACAGGTGTGTGCCACCGTGCCTGGCTGAGATAACGTCCCCAAGGACAATCCCCATTGCTGTGCGCCCGTGTCACGTCTCTTCCGTGGCTTAGGAGTGCCCTGACGATGGTGCACCGCGGGTGGCGCGCATCCACCTGCAGAGACCCGGGAACACCTTTCCACCCTTGCCGCTCTCGCGCGATCCTGCTCTGAGTAGCCAACGTACAGCTTGCGCGGGCCTGCGCTCGCTGTCGTCGTGGGGGTGCGCCTAGGAGTGGAAAGCTGGGTACGCGGGAGCTCCGGGCTCTGGGAACGGCCGAGGCGCGGCCCAGCTTGCACTCCGGTCGCTCTTCACCAGATTTGTTAAATCACAGCGGTCACCACCACCGCGCGGGGGAGAAGCGGCTTCTCGTCCGCGTCCCCCGGGCTTCCAGCGCTGGAGCGGAGCGCGTCTCCGCGTGCTCGCGCCTTCCTCCGAGAAGCGCTCGGGCCTCTTTTCGTTCCAGTTCGGCCTTTGAACTATGGAACGTCGCTCTTCAGTCTGCTTCGGTCCTTGGCGCCGTGGGCCGTGCTAGGCGTGTGCGTGTAAGCGCCTCTGGCCTCCTCTCCACCGCAGCCTGCCACCCGCGTGTGCGCGGGTGGGGTTTCTCCTCCGGATCTGCCTTGGCGGTCACGCTTATGTCTACGCGACTTTGCTTCGGTTCGCCCCACTGCCGCGCG